TGCCACAGAACCAAACGATAAATTCAAATGTATGTTGAAGAACTCGAAAAACTGAAGGATGCTGGATAAGCGGCCGGCATTATCAAATCGGCAATTGAAGATAAGCGACCGGCATTATCAAATCGGAAAGAAGATAAGCGGCCGGCATTATCAAATCGGCGGAAGGGACATGATCACAAGGGAGTTGTTTTCCATCATGATAACGCAAGGCCTCCCTCTCCCACACGCCTTTGGTTACTCGGCAAAAATGATTGGAACTGGGTTGGGAGGTTTTGTCACACCCACCATATAGCCCTCACCTTGCGCCTTGCTCGGCAAAAATTATTGGAACTGGGTTGGGATGTTTTTGGCAAAAATTATAGGAACTAGGTTGGGATGTTTTGTCACATACCACCATATAGCCCTGACCTTGCGCCTTCGGATTACCATTGTTTTCGGTCCTTGCGCCTTCGAATTACCATTGTTTTCGTTCCATGCAAAACTCTTTAAATGGTAAAATGTTTCGTTTCAAAACTCTTTAAATGGTAAAATTTGTAACAACGCGGATCTGTCAGGATCACACCTAATTCAGTTTTTTAATAGCAAAGACCAGACATTTTACAAAGTAGCAAAGGCCAGACATTTTACGAACGGGGAATTTTTACTGTCCCCGAACGGAAAATATTTACTCTGCCAGAAGGATGGAAAAAGTCGAACGGGGAAGTTTTACTCTGCCAGAACGATGGGAAAAGGTCGATCGACAAGATGGCCAATATCTAATTGAATAAAGTTATATTTTTAAACAAAAAATCCGGATTTGAAATCGGCAATGACTTAGTTGCCAACCTAATATATATCCTACTAAGATTTCCGTATTACAGTGTTTATTATTTTTATTGATCTGCATGATTTTCCCATTAAAGACACTTGAATGAGCCCTTCTATTTAGTTTAACTGAGAGACTTAAAGAAATTTCCTTCCTCCACATCAGTTTTGACACCTCATTCTAGCCACCACTACAGGCAAGATTACAAATGGAGTAGCCACGAATTATTGAAACTGATGATAACGCATCGGCAAATGGGAAGACCCGAGTTGGTATGATTAGAATTGTGATATTTACTAAATTGCAAATGATATTGTTGGAGTATTTTTGTTTATAAAAAGTTCACACTCAATTAGATTCAAGGTCAGGTTTGTCGTTATGATAGCTGAATTCATAGTGGGAATACAATCACCAAAAAAATTCAATAAATGGAGGGGCAATGAACCTTTTCATTCACAACGATCATTATGGAGATATTTCAATTTAAAATTCGCCGTATTTCTTTCACTGTATTAATTTAATTAAGTGCAAATAACTATCCAAAACAAGCTAATCAAAAAAATTCACAGGAGATAATGGGAGGGGAAGACCTCCTTCGTTTCTTGTGAAGAAACTTATCAACGAATGCAAAATGTGCTCGTGAAATAAAGACTTATTAGATTGCATTTTTCCCAGGGGTCGCTCGTGGTGGTCTGTAGGCTTTTAAATTAATTTTTGTTGGAATGGGGGGGTGAGTCTATGAGGCCGAAGCGGAATGGAACAGCTTAAATAAGAACGGGAAAGTGAGATTGTTGGACTTATAACGGATAAGTTATTTTGGGCCAATATTTAATCGATAATGGGAATTAAGCATGATATCACGAAGAAAAATGGTAAATTTTGAAATTTTGAAGGCATTAAATCTAGAAGAAGGGGAGTGTGGAGGTCTTTATATATATATATATATTATTTGGGTAGCTTCCACTTTTAACCAAGAATTCGTTCCAGGGATTTTTGTTGTTAATCCTGTCAAATCCTGTTATGGCTAAGAAAATTTAAACAACTTACACCTATTCTGAGATTGGCATGTTTAGCGTTTTAGCTCAATATAACGCTTTGCACAGTCTTGATGAACAGTGATTCCTAGATTAATAATATTGACTGCGTTCAATAATTGAAAGAACCATCAACCTCGAAATAATTAGGAAATTTGTGGTAGTTCTTAGGTTTGAACGCAATTATGAGCTCTGTCATAGAAAATTGAAGAAAGCCTAACTAATTGTAGCATTATCATAAAAATAAGAAAATAAGTAGATTCAAATGGCAGGAACAATCGTGCTAATTAATTAATTAGCCATTAAAATCCGGATTTAGAAGACAGGAATTCACGTAGTAAGGCAATTTGCCTCATTAATGCAGTTCTAATATCTGTCAATTTAAATTGGATAGGAGTTCAAATTGCTATTGCTATTGATTTCTTCAGCTCACTTTAGTTAAAAGAAAACAGATAATGGCACTCATTTAAATACTATAAAATTTAATAATATGATCAATTCATGGTTCATGGTTTCCCATCCCATAACTGGATATTGATGCAATTCGTTTAATTATGAACGGGGTCTAACTAGTGAATGCCTATTTTACCATGAAATAAGTCATTATTGAGAAATGTCGAGTTGGGAGTATCAGTCATTGACAAGACATCTCTTCATTAATCAAAAACCGGAGCAAATACTTCACACCAATTGACCAGAACAGTAGAAATGCAATTAGGCGGATAAAGACGTTGATATGACCCTAATGAGTTGAATTAATTTCAACTAAAACTATCTTTTCTTGTTAAAGCAATGGAAACCGGAGCTTTGAAATAACTAAGACAAAATAGAGGACTCACTAAATTATTGATTCACTAGCTTTATAAGCGCCATTCTTAGAAGGTGTGATGGAAGGACGATAAAATGAAGATAAAATATACTAACCTCTTAACTTGTATGCAGTATGTCTGGGTTTATATCAGTTGGTCTATACAGAATTAACAGTGGCCGTGGTGTAGCCAAATAGAGTTGGTAAATCCGTAATTACTCGAAGTGAAGTAGGTGCACAGCGATGAATGAGTTCTAGCATTATGCAAGGTGTTTTGAAAAGTTGCCGGTAGAAATTTAGATAAGTGGCTTTAAAATTTAACTGTAAGTAAATTTTTGCAGTAGGACCATTCATTTTTTATTTGAACTGATGGATATGGGTGTTTTGAGTGATATTGAATTCTCACTAAAATCATCACTGATATTTTTTGCAATTTTAATGTCTTTGTTGATTGAAGATACTGACGTCTAGACGTTTTCCCAGAGGAAAAATCAAATTAGATATAAAGGCCTGCCTTAAACTAATAGTTGCTCAGAACTAAGGCAAAGTTCTTTCGTTATTTAAAAAGACAAACCTAATATTTACCTTATCTGCTAATCCCCTAATTAGGGATCAAAATAACACCTTAATTTAACTGGTTGCAACCCAACCATTTAAGCACATGTTAAAAGTTTGACTTTGAAGAATCAGTTTAATTTGTTAAATTGTATTGGTAGATTCGTCATTTTTCCAACACAACATGTTTAAATTTGCGCTTAACACATTTTTCATCTTTTGAAATGAATCACTACAATTCATTGTTTATGAAATATCTCCACTTGCATATTTTTTCCTAAAATGTAGTTTTCTTTAATATTAATCATAGGAATTTTTGTCTCAATCTATCCCATAAATAGATAAAATTATTGGACTCAGGATGGATGCTTTATTAAGGGATTTGGTGTATTCGCATCAATAATTTCATTATTAAAATTCTTTTTCTGGTAAATTCTTTAGAAATCCCGCGTACCAATTGGTGGTGCTGTATTTAAGTTTTGTCCCCTATGAATATTAAAGAAACTAACCTGTGTTAATGTCTCGACTATAAGATACTTATTTCGAAATGGATGTTTTCTAATTTATTGAGAAGAAAATTATCAGGTTTTTAGAAGACAAAGGAAATAGATTGAAATAGATTTAAGATTGGCGGAAAGAATTTGCAATGTCAAACAAAATGTCTAATTAAATATTTATTTTAGAAAGTCAATTTATTTATAATTACATCTCACATATTTTTCTAGGGCAAAGTTTTGCTTTTGAGTTAATTAATATTTCTGAGTTCTTCAAACTGTAATCTTTATACAAAGAATAATTTTAATTATTGTCATACAATCTCAAGCTTATTCGAAGTAAATCTTTAACTCTTTTTATTATTTCTAAGAAATAAGGGTTTGTGGAATCGTAATCATGATTGAGTTTTGTCTCATGGTTCTCTGCAATTAGGTATCCACTACTTTTCAAGGTCTGCTTTTCCATGAATATTCCGTTGGTAGAATGATGTTCTAAGTCATTTGCAAGTAAAATTGAAAAAAAACAGTTCGAATAGGTTTGTAAGATATGACGATCCCTACTTCATGTTTTATACCTGCATTCCCATTTGTGGCCTTGGTTAGGCCTTTTAAAAATTATATTAAATTTTCTACTTTTTTGTAATTTTCACAGCTAAAAGCCAAAGACAAGGGGCCGACATTGGCAGTTTATGCACATTTCCCGATGATTCAAGGGCCTTGAAACAACGGAGATCGCAAATGTTGGTCAAACAAGCTAAGCATCAGGGTAAGATGTTATAATAACTATTATAATTGGTATATTCAAATAATATCATTACCTTCAAAATTGAGCATCCTGTATCCAGCGACTAGACCTCTCACCTCCCCTTGACAAAATCAAAGTTTTGTCAAGCCACAATATCTTGATCTTGATTTGATGGTAACAAGAGACATGTGTTTATGTTAACAATCGTCTCCGAACTTTTATGGGAATATAAGCTATTAACTAATAGCAGCCATTTACAGGAAGCAGTTAAGTTAATAAAATGCAAAATTAGCTTAAAATAATTGTTTATAGCTATAATATTTGCACAATATAATTGAATAGTAGAAATCTAATTTTTTTCCTTGAAATTTAACGATGAATAGAACATGTTGTCTATAAATAATATTGTGTTTTTCAGACTAGTCTTAAAACAAAACTTCCTTAATTATACATGAAATTTTTATATGCGCCATTAGCTTCAAAGAAATTTCTTAAAACTAATTTTTTCTCGGTTTCGTTCATTTCTAATTATATTTAAACTGAACAAGATATCTTCTCGATGACCAATGCAAGAATTTTTAATGCATCCAAATGTGAACTTTATCAAATCAAACTCCGCGGATCAATTCGACTTCGAGCTCAATTTTTCGGCAATTTGATAGCTGCTCAAGCAGCTCGACAATTCAATCCTTTCTTAAGTCAAGGAGAATCACCATCCGTGGAATTCGACTGGGATCGAAAGGAGCCAACCTTCCTGCCTGAGATGGTATCATGTTCCATCGAATTATCAGATTTTAATCCAAAGTTGGGAACAACAGGTGAATTCGATGGATACCTGAGACTGAAGTCCAGCTGCTCGGGGGAACCCTTTTCAAAATTTACTAATACTGGTAAGATATGTATATATGTATATATATATTCATAATAATATGAGCTAGCAAGGTACAAAAACAAACAAAAAACAATTAATTTATTTATTTATTTCAAATGGCAGGTGTTATGATAGGTATCATTAACCCTTTAGTTGACTTCGGGCTTCACAGAAAGGAATAGGAACATCAAAGGAAGCAAAAAGTCGAGATGGGGACAGAATAATGGTTCGTAGACGTAAAAGTGACAGACATACACAAAGGTAGAAAAAAGGTGAGGTGAGTACTGTGGAAGTAGTCGATTATGAAATGCAGTGGGGTCTTGGTAGTTTGAAGTCAGAAGTCAACTGCCGATTAATAGACTTTTTTGCCGTATTAGTATACGTTGCCCATGGAGCACCGCGTAGAGGTAAGTCCATCGCACACCCCCAAAAAAACAGTTTTGCAACGTT